CTTGAGTATTATCTCCTTGTGTATTACCGCCTCTTTCGCCTTTAGTGTTTCCATCATAGGTGTTACCGACTCTATCGCCTTTAGTGTTTCCACCATAGGTGTCACCACCTCTTTCCCCTTGTGTGTCTCCACCATAGGTGTTACCATATCTTCCCACTTGGGTGCGTCCACCATAGGTATCACCGCCTCTTTCGCCTTGTGTGTCTCCACCATAGGTGTCACCACCTCTTCCGCCATGTGTGTCTCCACCATAGGTATCACCGCCTCTTCCCCCGTGGGTGCATCCACCATCGGTGTCACCGCCTCTTCCGCCTTGCGTGTCTCCACCAAAGGTGTTGCCTCCTCTTCCCCCTTGCGTGTCTCCACCAAAGGTGTCGCCACCTCTTCCCCCTTGTGTGTGTCCACCATAGGTGTCACCACCTCTTTCCCCTTGTGTGTCTCCACCATAGTTGTCACTGCCTCTTCCCCCTTGGGTGCGTCCACCATAGGTGTTACCACCTCTTCCGCCCCTCTTTCCCCTTGTGTGTCTCCACCATAGTTGTCACTGCCTCTTCCCCCTTGGGTGCGTCCACCATAGGTGTTACCGCCTCTTCCCCCTTGGGTGTCTCCACCATAAGTGTCACCGCCTGCTCCCCCTAGGGTGTCTCCACCATAGGTATCACCGCATCTTCCCCCTTGGGTACGTCCACCATAGGTGTTACTGCCTCTTCCGCCTTGCGTGTCTCCACCAAAGGTGTCGCCGCTTCTGCCCCCTTGCGTGTGTCCACCATAGGTGTCGCCGCCTCTTCCCCCTTGCGTGTCTCCACCATAAGTGTCGCCACCTCTTCCCCCTTGGGTGTCTCCACCATAAGTGTCACCGCCTATTCCCCCTAAGGTGTCTCCACCATAGGAGTCACCACCTCTTCCCCCTTGGGTGCGTCCGCCATAGGTATCACCGCCTCTTCCGCCTTGCGCCGTGTCGTGTCTCCACCATAAGTGTCACCGCCTCTTCCCCCTTGGGTGCGTCCACCATAGGTGTTACCGCCTCTTCCCCCTTGGGTGTCTCCACCATAAGTGTCACCGCCTGTTCCCCCTAAGGTGTCTCCGCCATAGGTATTACCGCCTCTTCCCCCTTGGGTGCGTCCACCATAGGTGTTACCACCTCTTCCGCCTTGCGTGTCTCCACCAAAGGTGTCACCGCCTCTTCCCCCTTGTGTGTGTCCATCATAGGTGTCGCCACCTCTTCCCCCTTGCGTGTCTCCACCAGAGGTATTACCACTTCTTCCCCCTTGGGTGTCTCCACCATACGTGTCACCGCCTATTCCCCCTAAGGTGTCTCCACCATAGGAGTCTCCGCCTCTTCCCCCTTGGGTCCGTCCACCATAGGTATCACCGCCTCTTCCGCCTTGCGTGTCTCCACCATAGGTATTACCGCCTCTTCCCCCTTGGGTGCATCCACCATAAGTGTTACCGCCTCTTCCCCCTTGCGTGTCTAGGTATTACCGCCTCTTCCCCCTTGGGTGCATCCACCATAAGTGTTACCGCCTCTTCCCCCTTGCGTGTCTCCACCAAAGGTGTCACCGCCTCTTTCGTCTTTACTGTTTCCTCCCTGGGTGTTACCATCATCCCCATCTTCAGTGCTTCCTCCTTTGCTATTATCACCTACTCCACCTTGAGTATTTCCACCCTGAGTACTACCATTACCTTCATTTTCAGTGTTTCTACCTTGGGTATCACCACCTCCTCCACCTTGAGTATTACCTTCTTGAATGTTACCACCTTTTTCACCTTGTGAGTTGCCTCCCTGTGTATTACTACATTCTCTATTTAGAATATTTCCTCCCTGAAAATTATCTCTAGCTTCACTTTGAGCATTTCTTTCTTGGCCGTTTCTTTCTTGGATTTTGCTTCCTTGTCCATTCCTTTCTTGAATGTTGCTACCTAGTGGGTTAATAACTTGAGGATGAACCCTATTGATAAGGTGATGATGTGGGCAATTTGGATTGATACATGGCATTCCACTTCCTAATTGAGGGAACAAAGAAGGATTCACAGATGGTGATAATTGATTGTTCCCATCAGGAAAATCTCCACCTTGAACATTTGGCATTGGATAGTAACCTGTTAAGATTCCCTTTTGGGGCCTAAACGATGGTATGCTCTCATTCCGAAAGCTCATCGATGGAGGGTTTTGATTATTTCCTCCATGGATATTCCAAAATGGTTGATTCCCTAAGCCAGATCCTTGTTGATTGTATATTTCTTGAGGGTTACCTCCTTGAGGATTCATCAAATGGACGACATTTCCTCCTTGTTGATCAGGAGGAGAAGAAATGTATATCATCGGTCCATATAGGTTTAGACCCATAGGATTCATTGGTTTTGAGTTCAAGAGCTCTATTTGGGTTGATTGGTGAGCAGCCATGGTTGCTCTGAGAGAGAACTTGGAATTTAATTGGAATTGGAATGTTTTTGTTAAATGCTCTGGTTTCTCTCACTTCGTAGCTTAGGCATCTATGAGATGAATTGTGACTTTGAAAAATTATTATCTCGTTCGTAGCATGTGGGTGTGATGACAATTATGGAGGTATAGTTAATTATTTCAGACAACCCATGTGGCACCAGACATTTCTTTATCAACACATGGCCATAAAGAAGAAATTTTAATAATGAGGTTTGGTGTTGGAAAATAAATTTTATTAAATTATTTATAGAGAAAGGTATACATATATGTTTTAACTAGAATTGATAGTGGCATGTGCTGTGAATGCATGTTTCTTAAATAATCTCAAATTAAAATTTGGAATAATTAATTTAGGTTATTAAGAAGTGGAGATAGTTTTTTTTTTTTAAAAAAAAAAAAAAGAAGTGGAGTTCCACTTTCTATAAAATAATTAAATTGATAATATACATATATTTTTTTTAACCTTCTAGATCTGTTGTTCAACAATTTTCAAAGTGGCTCTCCCACTAATCATATATATATATATATATATTATTTTTTAATAATTTTACATTTAAAATGCAATAGACAAGTCAATGCAGCTGGCGTTGAAATTTGAATTTGGCTTAATATGTGAATTTTAGTTATTGATTAGAAAAATGACGGATTAGTTCAAATAACTATAGGACAAGAATTTAATAAAAATTACGGTTTTGTATCAATAATCCAAGATGCCAGTCTGAATTAGCTGCTGCTATGAATTTTCTGCTAAATGTCTTTGGGTTTGATATAGGAGCTTCAATGGTTGTCTTTTTTCAAGTGATTTAGATTGATTTGAACATTTATAAATTTTTTAAAAAAATTTTATAGAGAAAAAATAAGCTAAAAATAATAAATATCATCACTATAGATAAGGAGTGATTCAACTTATAAGACCCACTTTGAGTTTAGGAGATGATTTCTGCCAATTCAGAGTTATAAATATCATCACTATAGATAAGGAAGTACTAAAAATTAATAAATTTCATCACGATTTTAATAAATTTTGATTTTAACTAACTAATGAAATGTAATTTCACAAATTTTATGGAATCAAAAATTTCAAATTCCATAGCAATTATGTGCGGTCTGATCTATCTTTTTATTTATATGAAGAGTGAGACGTCTCGAGTTTAAATCCTTTCAATCACAAGAGTTTTTATCATTTTTTTATGAGTCAAGAGAAATGTTATCCCTATTGGGTAACCCGCAGCGTTTTCAGCCATTGAAGTTCTCAATGAATTTTTTTTTAAAAAAAAAAAAATTCAAGTTACATTATTAACACTTAAAATTTTTTTTTCTAATGAAATTTTGACTATTCATTGATAAAGAAATGAGTACATTAATATATTTTTCAAATAAATAAGGAATATAAAAATAGAAAATTGAAATTTTCTGATCATTATGACAGAAGAAATTAATCATTCAGATAAAAATAGATCTATTCCAAATAGGATGACAAAATAAATATTTTTTAATTTCATTCTTTTGAGAATTTACTAAAATTGATGTTGTAGAAAAGTTTAAAATGTCAAACATTATTAAAATGTCAAATTATATATATATTTTACTAAAAAATTGATGTTGTAGAAAAGTTTAAAATGTCAAAATTATTAAAATGTCAAATTATATATATATATATATATATATATATGATATATTATATATATATATATATATATATAGACGTTTTTTTTTTTTTCTAAGAAGTTGAGGTAGAATTGCTTAAATTTGATAAAAGAAAGTTGAGGTAGAATTGCTTAAATTTGATAATGCCATAAAGGATTTAAAAGGTTAGATCATGGCACATAAGCTTTTCTATCCATCCAAAATGCTACTCAGAAATTGAATGGTATATTGTTTTTTTTAATAACTTATTTAATAAAATTAATTTATTACTAAATGGTTAAAAAAAAAAAAAAAAACTTCAAGTTTGAAAAGCGATATATGTGTACTGTCATTATCTCTATTGTTTGCTTTTAATAACTTATTTAATGAAATTAATTTGTGACTGAGTGATTAAACAAATTGCTCAAAAACTTTAAAAAGCATAATTGTGCATCGATAGTATCCCAATTCATTTAAAATATTCATTCAAAAATTAAAATGATAGTGTATATAGATTCAAATAATATAAGAAATAATAAATGTTTAACTAAATACATAGCTTAATAAATTAAATACTCAATGAATAAAAATAATAATCGTTTAACTAAATAAATAAATAAATTAATTAATTATAAATAAAATTGAAATTATGTTATATCATTCATTTTATTTTAGTAACTTAATTAATAGAATTAACTTGTTATTAAGTAATTAAATTTCCACATATCTTATATCCCTTGAGGGCCATGCCATAATATGAGTAGCTACCATTGTGTTTTTTTTTTTTTTTTTTTTTTTTTTTTTTTTTTTTTTGTCAGCAAAAAGAAAGATATTTTTTATTAAACTACTATTTTATTAGCAACCTTGACGGCCAAGGCATAACACAAGGAAATCCTGACACTAATATCACATCAGAAGAGTTTGAATTTAATTAACAAGTTGGAACACTAACGTAAATTTCTAGCTTGACAATTCCATCTTTGGCATTTTCAGAAATTTCAAACTGCAAATTTCCTTTTTGTACATTATTCCATCCACCACCTTGCTGATTTCCCATTTGAGTATTGCCCCATCCTCCACCTTGAGTGTTTCCTCCTTGAGTATTACCCCAACCTTCACCTTGAGTGTTCCCGCCTTGGCTGTTGCCCCATCCCCCACCTTGAGTGTTTCCACCTTGGGTGTTACCCCATCCTCCCCCTTGAGTGTTTCCTCCCTGGGTATTGTCCCATCCTCCACCTTGAATGTTTCCACCCTGAGTATTGCCCCATCCCCCACCCTGATTGTTTCCAGCTTGGGTATTTCCCCATCCTCCACCTTGTGTGTTCCCTCCCTGAGTGTTACCCCATCCTCCACCCTGAGTGTTTCCACCCTGGGTATTGCCCAATCCTCCACCTTGTGTGTTTCCACCCTGAGCGTTGCCCCATCCCCAACCTTGAGTGTTTCCACCCTGAGTATTGCCCCATCCCCCACCTTGTGTGTTACCTCCCTGGGTATTGCCCAATCCTCCACCTTGTGTGTTTCCACCCTGAGTGTTATGAGTGTTACCCCATCCTCCACCCTGAGTGTTTCCACCCTGAGTGTTACCCCATCCCCCACCTTGAGTGTTTCCACCCTGGGTGTTGCCCCATCCTTCACCTTGTGTGCTTCCTCCCTGAGTGTTACCCCATCCTCCACCCTGAGTGTTTCCAGCCTGAGTGTTACCCCATCCCCCCCCTTGAGTGTTTCCACCCTGGGTATTGCCCCATCCTCCACCTTGAGTGTTTCCACCCTGAGTGTTATTCCATCCTCCACCTTGAGTGTTTCCACCTTGAGCGTTACCCCATCCCCCACCTTGAGTGTTTCCACCCTGGGTATTTCCCCATCCTCCACCTTGTGTGTTTCCACCCTGAGTGTTACCCCATCCCACCCTGAGTGTTTACCCCCAGTCTCTCGCACCCTGAGTGTTTCCCCCTTGAGTGTTACCCCATCCCCCACCCTGTGTGGTTTCCTCCCTTGAGTGTTTACCCATGATCCTCCACCCTGAGTGTTTTCCACCCTGGGTATTGTCCCATCTCCCACCTTGTGTGTTTCCTCCCTGAGTGGTTACCCCAATCCCCCACCTTGAGTGTTTCCCACCTGTGGGTGTTTCCCCATCCTCCACCTTGAGTATTTCCTCCCTGAGTGTTACCCCATCCTCCGCCTTGAGTATTTCCGCCTTGGGTATTACCATATCCTCCACCTTGAGTGTTTCCTCCTTAGGTGTTACCACATCCTCCACCTTGAGTGTTTCCTCCCTGTGTGTTACCCCAGCCTCCTTGAGTGTTTCCTCCTTGAGTAGACATTCTTTCACTAGAGGGATTTGAACTTTGCTTGAATGTTTTTGTGAAATATTTTCGTGTCTGCAAACCAAAGGATTGTGAATACTTATATAGACATACAGGAAATGAACTGTGACTTAAAATATTCTTATATTATTCATTGCTGATTAGATATCAGATGAAGAAGGTATAGTTAATTATTTAAGAAAGACCAAGACCTTACCAATGTTAATATTAAAATTTATTTTCTTTTATGGAGGAAATTGAATAATTATCTCAAAGTCTTTTCCACCTTGTGTGTTTTCCGTCTGGAGTGGTTTAACCCCATCCTCCACCCTGAGTGTTTCCACCCTGGGTGTTACCCATCCCCCACCTTGAGTGTTTCCAACCCTGGGTATTGCCGTTCCCCATCCTGCACCTAGTGTGTTTCCTCCTGAGTGTTTCCCAATCCTACACCCTGAGTGTTCCCACCCTGAGCGTTCCCCGACCATCCCCACCTTGAGTGTTTTCCCACCCTGGGTATTGCCCCATGCCGCGCCCCATCCCCCACCTTGTGTGTTTCCTCCTTGGGTATTGCCCCATCCTCCACCTTGTGTGTTTCCTCCCTGGGTGTTACCCCATCCTCCACCCCATCCCCCACCTTGAGTGTTTCCACCCTGGGTGTTGACCCATCCTCCACCTTGTGTGTTTCTTCCCTGAGTGTTACCCCATCCTACACCCTGATTGTTTCCACTCTGAGCGTTACCCCATCCCCCACCTTGAGTGTTTCCACCCTGTGTATTGCCCCATCCTCCACCTTGTGTGTTTCCTCCTTGAGTGTTACCCCATCCTCCACCCTGAGTGTTTCCACCTTGAGTGTTACCCCATCCTCCACCCTGAGTGTTTCCACCTTGAGTGTTACCCCATCCTACCCCATCCTCCACCCCTGAGTGTTTCCACCTTGGTATTGCCCCCACCCCATCCTCCACCTTGTGTGTTTCCTCCCTGAGTGTTACCCCATCCCCCACCTTGAGTGTTTCCACCTTGGGTATTGCCCCATCCTCCACCTCGTGTGTTTCCACCTTGAGTGTTGTCCCATCCCCCACCTCGTGTGTTTCCACCTTGCGTATTGCCCCATCCCCCACCTTGTGTGTTTCCTCCCTGGGTATTGCCCCATCCTCCACCTTGTGTGTTTCCTCCCTGGGTGTTACCCCATCCTCCACCCCATCCCCAACCTTGAGTGTTTCCACCCTGGGTGTTGCCCCATCCTCCACCTTGTGTGTTTCCTCCCTGAGTGTTCCCCCATCCTCCACTCTGAGTGTTTCCACCCTGAGTGTTACCCCATCCCCCACCTTGAGTGTTTCCACCCTGGGTATTGCCCCATCCTCCACCTTCCAATCCTCCACCTTGTGTGCTTCCTCCTTGAGTGTTACGCCCATCCTCCAACCCTGAGTGTTTCCACCTTTGGGTATTGCCCATTTCTCCACTTGTCCACCTTGTGTGTTTCCTCCCTGAGTGTTACCCCATCCCCCACCTTGAGTGTTTCCACCTTGGGTATTGCCCCATCCTCCACCTTGTGTGTTTCCACCTTGAGTGTTATCCCATCCCCCACCTTGAGTGTTTCCACCCTGGGTATTGCCCCATCCCCCACCTTGTGTGTTTCCTCCCTGGGTATTGCTCCATCCTCCACCTTGTGTTTTTCCTCCCTGAGTGTTACCCCATCCTCCACTCTGAGTGCCCCATCCTCCACTCTGAGTGTTTCCACCCTGAGTGTTACCCCATCCCCCACCTTGAGTGTTTCCACCCTGGGTATTGCCCCATCCCCCACCTTGAGTGTTTCCTCCCTGAGTATTACTCCATCCACCTTGAGCATTACAGAATCCTCCATGACAGTGTGGACAGCCTTGATTGTTTCCACCTTGGATATGACCACCACTTCCTCCTTGAGTATTTCCCCATTCCCAACTTTGAGGGTTTCCTCCTTGAGTATTACCCCATCCCCCACCTTGAGTGTTTCCTCCTTGGGTGTTACTCCATTCCCAACCTTGAGTATTTCCCCATTCCCAACTTTGAGTGTTTCCTTCCTGAGTATTAACCCATCCCCCATTTTGAGTGTTTCCTCCCTGGGTGTTACTCCATCCCCAACTTTGAGTATTTCCTCCCTGAGTATTACCCCATCCCCCACCTTGTATATTTCCTCCTTGATTGTTCATGATTTCAATCAAAGTGGCCTTAAAACTTGGTTAGGATTTTTCTTTGCAACTATTTTGGTGTGTCTCACTTGATGCGCTAACTAAAGAATTCTATCTCCTTATATAGGCATCTGGGAAATAAACTTTGACTTGAAAAATTATTATGTTATTAGCTCGATTGTGATGAAATAACAGGTACTGTGATATATTTAATCATTTGATGCTGGCAAAGTTATTAATTACAAAGATTAACAATAAAATGTAATGAAACATAGCATAACTTGACACCTAAATGTAATCTTTTCATGCTTAAAATCGTAATTATTAGTTTTTTATTCCTTGCATGTGATTGCATGTTAGTTATTATAGGTAGACAAAAGCATTAATTACAAATGTGAACGTTGAAAGTATATTAAAAAGTGCACAGACTTAAATTAGGACTACCCATGAATAGCTTTAAATTAAACAAAAGTTAATAAATTGTGCATGAAAGTATATATATAAAAAGTTATCTTTAGTATCTTAGCTGCGGCATGATTGTGATATGCATGCTAAATATTTTATTTATAATCTTAGAGATATTGTGTGATAACATTTTAAAATATATAATTTTATGAAGAAAAATTTTATAATTTAAATTATTTTTAATTTCATATTTATTAATTTTATTTAAATTAAAGAACATTAATTTCAAATTCAAAACATTAGACTAATTATATAAAAACTATTGTCTACATTAAAATTGAAAGGAAAGGAAATATACATTAACAATCATTGATTTAATTTATTTTTGAAATAATAAATTTTCTTAAATGATATTAAAAATAATAAAATAAATAAAATAAAATGGAGTAAGGGACAATAGAAATTCAAACATACACGTATATATATCATTCTTAATGATAATTTCATATAAACTTTTTTCTCTTATGATTTATCAAACTTTTTCTAATTTGAATGATTTATCAAACTTTTCTAATTTGATAGAGTAATATATATATATATATATTATATATATATATATATATATATATATATATATATATATATATATATATACCTATATACTATAATATATATATATATATAGTCATTTCAAAAAATAAAAATTTATAAAAAATATATATCAATTTCAAAAATAAATTATAAAAAAATTATTGAAATTACAAAAAATGAAATTGATCTTACCAAACCTCAAAGAGCTTTCGCTATTTATAGTCTAGTAATAAATAATTAATGACAATTCAATATATTATCATTAAAACTAATAAAGATAACTATATATTGCAATTTTAAGACAAATAAATATTGAAACGTGTGGATATTCATTGTTAATAAAACTATTTTGATAAATATTTTCATCATTAATCTTCTCTATCATTCTTTTAAATATAAAATTTTCATTCGTAATAATAAATGATAATTATGAGTGAGTATAATAATATTTAATATCAATATTATAATAATATTAATACATATTAATATGATAATCAACATCAAAATTATGATAATTTTTTAATTAAAAAATAAGTTATAATACTATAAAAATTTTAATTATTTAATACATATTAATATGATAATTGAATGACAATTAATACCAATATTATGTAATTTTAATTGAAAGAGATAGGTTATAATATTATAATAATTATAAAATAATTATAATTATTTACTAACTAATATGTATTAATTATGATAATTAATAGTATCAATATTTATATAACACTATAATTAATAATTAAATTCTATATGACACTATCAAAATTTAAAGTCTATGTAGCATTATAATTTTATGTGTTATTACAAATCTAAGAATCTTATGTGACAACAGCAAGGAAAGAGCATTCATTTAAAAAATGTCACATGTCAACTTCTTGAAAAAAAAAATATTTTTGATATATATATATATATATTTCTGCCAGCCATGCATATTCCTTGATTGAACTATTACATATCTTCAGTTTAATTCTGGTTCATTTTTTAAATTTTCAGTTGACTTTATATGTTATGGATCAAACTGTGATAATTTTATTAGTTTATCTTTTTAAATGGATTTATGATTATGGACAGATCTCTAGATTAAAAAATTTTGAAATAAATGAAAGCACATATATAGAACAAATCTTATATGATCTTTAATAATAAAATGGCATATATTATATGTGAGATTTAAGGGGAACATATAAATTTATCCCTGAAGTTTGCGATTTTAATTTTATAGCTCGTTAAACTTTTTGAATGACCTATTATGTATTTGACCTTGTAAATTTTAATAACATTGCACAAGTTTTTATATTAACAATAATAAATTTTAGATTTTTTCGCTTTCATATGTAAATGAATGATTTTCTATGTAGTTAGTATAATTTTAATTTTATAACAATAATTTTTATATTTTTTAATTACAATAGGTATTTAATTAATCTATTTACAAATTTAAGTATTTAATAAATAATTTTTACAATTAAAATGTTTGAAAGTATAATTTTATAAATTAACATTTTTAATAAATTCAAAATAAAAGCCAGATGTGTCACGAATTAAAATAACATAATGCAAGAATAAATAACATAATGCAAAGAATAATTTAGTATATTTAGCCGGAGATTTCGTAACAATAGGGCAACCTTATGCCCCATATATAATAATATATATATATATATATATATATATAGCGCCATTGATCGCAGTAAGTGGGAAGTACGTGCAATAATTAATTATTATTTCTTCTGTAACTTTGTCGTGATTTATGTTGAAAAAAAAAATATTAAACTTGGAATCATATGGTCTATAGAATTAAGTTATACCTAAATAATACTTTTTTTTTTTTTTTGCTTGACCGAAAAAAAAAAGGTTAAAGTCTATAAAACTTACAAGTTTTGTCATCACTTCAATTTCACCAATCCAAAATTTCTCAATTTCTCAATTTTCGTAGTACTTAATTATTTGAAAGGTCAAAACATATATATAAGCATGACAAATAATATAGTACTCCCACAGGGAATAATTCTAATGAAAATAGCAAATCCCAGTAAGTAAAAAATAACAAAAAAAGTCATTAATTAATTAATAATGCATCACCCCATCTACCCATCACCCCATCTACCCATGTGATCTATTAATTAATTTTGTCTCTAATACTTAATTAGTCCAACCCATTAATTAATTTCCTTCTTGATAGAAGCAAATAAATGAAGAATGACTTCTCATAGATTAATTGGCATGGAATGCAATCCAAGTCTTTTAATTTTTTGTGTACTACATCTGGTCTGCATAAAATATCAAATATTGTAATAATATTTCTTTTTTTTTTTTTTTTCATTATCGTTCTTTTTTTAGTTTCCTAAATAATAATTTCATTTCTATTTTAAATATATTTGTAAGTTTTTCATAACACTCTCATAAACAGTTATGGACCTTAGAACAAATTATTGAAGCGATGAATTTGTATAATTGACTTGTCTAGGCCTGATGTATGCATCCACTTATGGACCAAAGCTAAAATAATTATTTATTGAAATAAGACTTTTTCTAACCATTAATTTAGAGAGAGATAAAAAAAAAAAAAAGACAAAGTCATAACATTATTTAAAAAAAAAATCTCTATTTTAATTGTTATATTTCACATAGACTACGTTTAGGTAAGTCCAATTTCCAATTTAAAGTGCTTAATTGATATTAGCCTAATAGAAAAATTGTTTTATGTATTAGTTAATATTAGCCTAATAGAAAAAGTTCCCCTAAACTTTAGCCTTTGTTCTAAAAGGAGAGGAAAGAAAAATAATGGAGAAAGAAGAATAATAGTTGAACATAATAAAGAATTGTCTGCCTTTTTCGTTTCCATTTTGCATTTTTGTGTTTGGATACAACGAAGAAAAGAAAATAAATAATTTTTTTTATTTGGAAAGGGAAAAATTTTAGAGGAACTAAAATATTACAATTGAAAATTGACTATTATGCCTCATCTGGATGTTGGGGTATTTAAGAAATGGTTAAAGGTTGTTAATTAATTTGGGTATTTAGATAATTTAATAAAAAAATAAGTGAAATTTTCACATTCTTTCGGTATTTTCTGTCTAAATTTGAAAGATTCAAAATATGTGGACTTGTGTGGAAACTAGGTCAAGGGTTACTTCCATGATATTTTCCTTCTTTTCCCAAACAACAAAAAGTACATTTCCTTAGATATTTTCCATAATCATTTATCTTTATAAAAATACTCTCATCCAAACAAAAATATAGAATTTTAACAAAAAGTACATTTCCTTAGATATTTTCCATAATCATTTATCTTTATAAAAATACTCTCATCCAAACAAAAATATAGAATTTTATTTTTATAGCACCCCAAAGTTTTCAAGAAACCTATTATGTTCCTAAAATTGCAATTTTAGTAATAATTTTACTGAGTTGATGGGTGTAATTTTTAATGACAATTTTTAGAGATTCATCATATTCCACTGAGTATAGGAACGGAAGCGTTGTAAGTTTTCACAGGTACCTGACTTGCAAAAAACCATTTAAACCAATTTGATCATATATAAAGGATAAAAATAAAAAAAATAATTTATTATTTATGAAAATCATAAATGTGATAAGTATTTAGGAATATAGTACTTTTTCAAATACGACAAGTATTTGAGAATGGATAGAATATTTTTTAGCTTGTATATTATTATGGCATAATTGGGGAGTGAGGTTGTGTGATGTATTAGTTCCCTAAACACCAAGCCGAATTAGATGGTGCATGATAATGGGGTTCAGATATCGGTAGTTTACACCAAACAAATTGAATTAATAATCGAGATCATAATAGATAAGTCATGTAAATGGTTTTGAGCAAGAGAATGACTTTACTTAAAATCTAATCTTTTACCAGCAATAATTAAAATTACTACATTAGTATGACCTAAGTCTACAATAATGAAAATAAGCTTATAGTAATTTATCTCAATAAAATTTCAAAATTTAATGACTAATAAAGATTAGTTTATGAAAATCAATCAGGTGTGGTCTGATTG